AAATTTGGTTAGCATTTTTACATATTGCTAAAAACTTTTAATTTAGCCAAAAAAACGGAAAAAATTTAAAATGAAAAACTGTGTTTTTAATGATAAGCAATAACACAATTTTATTTGGCAAACAATTTAGTTGAACTAAATTTGGCTAAAGAACATGATTTCATTTTATTACTTATGCAAAAAAGTTTCGTTCTGTACGACCAAATACACGGAAAAAATATATCACTTGTTATACTGAATTTCTTAAAAACACGACAGTTTTCTATCGTTCATATTGAACCATTCAACTCATTGCATGGTCTGAAATTGTAACAATAACCGATTAGTTATACACAACATTTTAGAAGTTAATAACCTATTATAATCTTAAGGGAGCTAGATTCGCTAAAACAATTGTGGAAAAAAAACAGTTCTTGGAAAGTGAATGAAAGCTGAAATATTCTCGAATAAAAAAAATTAATCAATTTTATGCAATAATATAAGGTTTGCTCTTCTATAACAATTTTACATTTTTCCTTCCGATTAGTATACTTTAGATGTCAGCCCGTTTTCATGTCGGAAAGTAACTGGCGCTTCAAATTTGTAAAACAGTGTCATCCTTCTTTTTATACTTCACTTCTTTTGAATTGTTTTACTTGTTTCAATAATATTACTGATGTTCAAAATTTCGAATAACAATTACGACATAAACAAAACATTATATTTCAATGCACCGATGACACAAAAAAAATTCATAGCTTGTTATACCGGATTTTAAAAGACTAAGCTGATTTTGTGTCAAAAAATTTTAATCTGAGAGTTTTACATGATAATTCTGCTAATCTAGAGCATGAGAAGCTTAAAACTGAAAAATATTTCTTCATATTTTGATGAGCCAAATGAATTTTAAACTTAAAAATTTCCAAAGAATAAAACTGGTTGTATCAGAGGTGAGCCTTGAAGTATGATACTGCTGTTTGTTTTGTTTCAATTGAATTTTGGTAAACATGAATATCATAATTGTCTAAGCAAAAATAGATAAAATTGGTTCAGTTTTTAATATGAAAAGCGTTACTTACATTTTTTTTTCAAAACTGCGTATGGTAGGGTGATCATAGTCGTCACGTTTCCTGCAGTCTGAAGATAAAAGTATTTAGTCCCCGCGTCCTTAACAAAAATTGTGCTCCTCAATGTCTCAAAAAATTCTTTTAGAGTTCCCAGGCTTCAAACCAGATATTTTTAGCCCCCATTTTATAAACCAGCCATATTTTAGTCCCCTTTTTGACAATAGACTCCAGGCAATATTGGCATCAGAGCATATTAACTTTTAGTTGCAAACGCCTGCTAAAAAGTGCCACATAGCAAATGTTTTTCAAAACGGCCCCTAAAACAAATTTTTCAGACCGTGGTTTTTTTTTCAAAAAAAATGACTTCACTGAAATGAAAAACGCTCCTAATATTTTCTCACAATGGAGAAAGTCCTATGTCCGGCTCTTTTTTCTTTTCCGCCAACTCACATAAGCAACCGTTTTTTGGTGTAAGGAGAGGCTAGGCTCTACATGGTTAAACATGAAGACCAAATAAGTTTGTCATGATCAAATTAGTTCGCATGCCAATTTTTATAACATTCGGATAGCATGAACAGAATTACACTACCAAAAATTTTGCAAGGGGGAAGGAAAAAGAGCCCTATGTCCATCTCTGTGACTGCATCAAACTAATTTGTACAAATAGGTTTGGTTTTTTCTCCAATTTTTTTTTCGAAAACTGCGTGTTATTCGTGGAGCAGAACTCCCACTATGTTAAATTTGCAACATCTAAATCTATAGAGCCAAGTATTTAGAACAATTTGTTAGATCTCATCTAACAGCCTTGACTTTAGAAGAATAACTGTTTCTTTTTCGAAAAAAGCATCAACATCAAATTCAGTTTTCCAGCTCTAGTGGCAGAGGAAAAAATAAACAAAAGCTTGAAGCGTACAAATGAAAATTGACAGACCCTAAAATAAGAAAAATGATTAAACTAAAGAAACATAATAATTGTTTTTTCAAACCATTTAAAACAGCGCATGGCGGTAAACTGAACATAGTCCCCATGGTTTTTTAGTCACCATTAGAGGAAAAAATAAGCAATCAAAGAAGCAATCAAATGAAAATTGACAGACCCTTACGTAAACAAGAACAATCATTAAAATTGAGAAACATATTATTAATGAAACATACAAAACAGCGCATGATGGTACATTGAACATAATCGTCATGGTTTTTTAGTCTCATCATGTCAGTTATTGGTCTTCATGGTCAGTATAATTTCAAGCTTGGTATGGTTTTGCAAGCGACCTAGACTTTTCACTTAAGGATTACGTGCCAAAAAAGTAAAACGATATGCTCAAAATTTGCTTATAATTTGGTTTTGGCCCAGAATATTTTATTAAAACTGGGTTTCTTTAGCGTTTGAAGAAATTTTGAAATACCAAATGGGTCCAACTTAAAAACATTGAACAAAATGTTTTCTAATCTCTGTCGCCCTCGATAAAACACTAGATCCAACCTTGAGCTGCATCAAAAATCTTATACAATCAATAGATATTTGGTTTCTTTATACGATGAAATATACATTCAATAAACACTGGCTATTAATCCTGGTGCATAAGTAGTACACAAATCATGGTATGTCAGCCACAAGCAGCTTTACAGAACCTAATAGTGTGAACATTTTAGGGCTATCTTGTTCAAATCATGAGTTTAAAACAAATTATGGTGTTTGCTAAACTAAATTGGAATTCAACCTGAAAAACTGCTAGGAAATTTGAACTCAGCATCAGATTCAGTTCTGCATTTATGCTAGTTGAAAAAAAAGAAAACAAAAAAAAGAAGCCAATCAACGAACTTGATAGACCCTAGAAAAAGAGCAAACTGTTGATTGAAAAACTGAATGAAAGAACGGTTTTTTGATAAAGATCACAAAAATTTTTTTGATTTGAAAAAATATTCTGTCATTTTTCTCAGCAAAACCAGGGTGATCAATTTTGAGCCGCCAGCAGATTTACCAACCAGCGTAACAAACAGACCAATCATTCAGTTTTTTGTACTTATGAAATTATATGGAAAATATATGGCTTTTATTTTTTGTTCTGACCATTGATGAATTAAAAGAAAACCTTTTGTTGAGAAAAACAGGTTCGAATTTTTCAAATTCAAATTGAATTACGATCGAGTATAGCAATAGAGTAACAATTTTTATTTGAAAATGAAACAATTTTTGGTGTTTTAAGTTAAAAAAAACCTTGACTTTACGGAAAAGAAAAAAAAATAATTTCAAAAATTTAATTTGGCGCTTTCTTGGAAGAGAAGGTTTTTAAAAAAAAATTGAAATTTTTGCGCACAAAAATCAAATTTTTTAAAAATAGTTATTATTTCTTTTTTTTATTGTTTTGCATTGTTTTTTAAAGACAAATGCAGTCAATAATGCCTACTTCACTATTCTTTACGCGTTAAAAAAATTCTTCAATCCAATCAAGCACTAAAAACGACACTAAATCGAATAAAAAAAAACGTTTGTAGTTTTTTATGATTGGGTCAGAACAATCTGTGCTACTTAAGCAGCAACCGGCTACCGTTGTTCATGTTTGAAAAATTTATAACTAGCGTTTGTGGACATCTTGCATAGTTATGATTTTGTCATTCGGCAGAACTTGCAGAGGCATATTTTGATTAGATAACAAAAGTAACTGTTTTAATAATCTTGAACAAAAAACTCCCTAAAAGCTCAGTTGCCAAACTTGAGTATAATAACTTGAAAAATTATCACAAACTATAAAAAAAATCATAAAAAGTCTCGATTAGAAGTCAATGTAGTTTATGGAAAGCAACTCAGACTGCTCGTTAAGCAGTGTGATCTGCTCAGACTACTAGACATTTTCTTCAACTGGGTACAAATAAAAGACAAAAACTCAAGCGTAACGATTAACATTAGTGCCTATCAGCATGCGATAATTGCTTTGACTGCAAGTGCTTTCAAGCGAAAAACAAATCAGCCTAAAAGTTCAAAAATTTCAAAAACCTCTTGATTTGTTAGGAAGGTTAAAACTTCATTTCCGACTAATTGAATATCGACAAGGCACACCGCTCAAAATTGGAAACTTGAGTAAACGAAACGTGAAATTGCGAATCCCTAAATTAATTTTTTTAAACGGCAAGCTATTTGACACACGTGCTAATAGGCCGATCCCTCAGAAATTGAATTAGATGAAAACGAAAAGAACTTTGTAAAGGGATCAGTATCGCGCAGAGAGAAGGGAGAGGACGACCGCTAACCCAGTTGCCAAATTTTTCCAAAGGGTCCTTTTTGGTATAACTTAACGAATTCATACGCCAATATTACTAAAACTGAGGGTGCCGATATTACTAATTATCCCGTTAATACGCCAATATAACTAAAATTTTTCGCTTGTTTTTTTTCCAAAAAACTTGCCTCTCAATGGAAAAGCAAATTCAAATTGTTTGACCTAAAAAAAAGTTTGACAAACTTTCTCGAAAACTGCCTCCCCCTCGAAGAACTGTGCAGACGTCACTGAATCATATTTTTAAACGGATACTAGGGTTTTGTATTAACTGCGTGGAATTTTAATTTATATCTTTTTGGTCTTTCTTAGTGGGTTGTTTTCTGACAACTTTCGCCATCCAATTTTTGATCTAAGTAATTTCAAAAAAGCTTCCCAAAAACAACTGTAGTCTATAAATGGAGAGCGTTTGGGTTGTTTCACACCAAAACATCTCTGTAGCTACTTATAAACGACTGGCCAATTAAGATCTCCAAAAATGAGTTTTCAATTTTATCCCGACAAATACTGTTCAGCAATTTCTTGGTATTAAAGTGTCAATCTTTAATCTGAATGAATTGAAGAGGAAGCGTGAAGAACATGAGTGAAATTTGATTTCATTTGTTCGGTCGAAAACGAAAACGGCGCTTAGACATGTGAAAGATGGGTGGGTGGGGATAGTTGAGACAAGACTACTTACTGGCTCTGACTGTCTGTGCATTGGGGGGAGTTGGCCTGTTGGCCGCAGCAGCAGCAGCAGTCGTCTCTAGATCCGCCATCGTTGCCGTCTAGTTCGGGTGATGAGTGGTCGCTGGCGCCGAGAACTGTCGCTCGTTCGCATATCAATCCGAGAAACAACAGAACGAGCAATCTCTGTTTCATTCTGAGTGGAGAGCAGGTATTTTCCTGATTTTATTTTTCAGATAGACAGGCCAAAACTTGTTCGGAATTGATTCCTGCAAGTCCAGAATATAATTAATTCCAAGATAATTTTAACGAAACTCGCCGAATGGAAAGCTGAACACGATTAACCTGTTGAAAATTAAAGGATAATTAACAGAAATTACTTTGTGAAAATGGGTAGCAATAACAGCATAGACTTGCTTTTCGTGTTTTTTCTCACTTTTTAGCTAATCACATTGATGATAAAATAAGTAATGGTATTAAATAAAACCAAGCAAAATTATTAGGAGAGAAAACCTGATAAAGGTCACCTGTTTAGCAAATGTGGCATATGAATTGGGAACTGTAAGACAGTCCAGGGAAATCATCAATGTTTTGAGAAGACCAGGTTGTTATCTCACTAAATACTTAAATCTTGGAAAACTTGAGAGCATAAGAAGGTAATGTAAATGTGTTGGAGCGGAAAAAGAAACAAGATAAGTCTAGAAGAGACTTCTGTTTACACTTATGAAACAGATCTCCTTCTAGAATTATCACTAAATTGTGAGTTGAGAATTGGAAAGAAGCAAACGGGCGGCGAAAGGTGTGAGTTCACGAAAGTGTCAACAAATCCAAATAGAGTGAAATAATTTTGTTATCAAATCAGTTTTTGGGCAATAATTTTTAGCACCACGGGCAAACCTTTTGCAGTAATTGCATTGGGCAATAAGCAACATTACACTTAATGGAGCGCATTAATAGCGTCTGGTGAAACAGAAAAGCACGTGAACAGTTAGTGTGCCATTTTTCAACCATGAGTCCAATTTTAAAACCCTTCCCAATCGTAAACTAATTATAACGGAACAAAGACTGAATCAACAATAAATTTGATTCAGCGCCCATTTAAGTGTGGAGCAGCTTAAGAATGGGAGTTGGGAGTTGAGTTGTGTTTTAGTAATTAAGCTTAAATGCTAACGAGACAGATGTGGCGAGGCAATAAAACCTCTTGGGATACTAAAAGCAAATTTTTGGGCCATAAACTGTGCTGCTGGCTCGCCGCGCGCAGTCCATAAAACCTCACTTTCCAAACGGCTACTCTGCGCGGCTACTTATTTGTGCTGCGGTTGTTGTTCTTGTTGTTCTTGTTTTTGTTTTTGTTCTTGTTTTTGTTGCTGTTGTTGCGTTGCGGTTGTTGTTGTTGATGAAAAGGACGTCTGCCATGAAAAGGTGCTGAAAATGAGGTGAAATTAAAAATGGGAAATTTGCCTCATAAATAAGAGAAAAAGGGGAGTTGATAGCCAGATAGCGTTTTGGGTAGAGACCGCATCCACCGATACTCGTCAAAATGTGTGGGTAAGACTCCTTTGAACCATCAAACAAGGCGGTGTCTACGAAGACCAAAAAAACATAAACTTCCGACAGAGAACATCCGAAATTACGTAACAATTATGGGGAAAAGTTCTAGTGAATCCAGAACTAAAAAAAACGTTAATTTAGCATTTCAATAGAATTAAATTAGCATTTAAATCATTTTTTCGAAGGTTTTTTAAGGCTGATGCCATTTTATTATTGAATGCAAAGAAGAAAAACTGCATCCATAACTACTATCACTTGTCAGCCACTGTTTTCTGCTGCTTGGGAGATTCGTTTTATTGTGACTTCTCTCTGAACTTAATTATGGGGGAAAAGAGAGCATAAGTTAGTACAATATTCACAGCAATATTTGCACAATCAGTCAGTCTCCTATGAATTGCAGTAACACCACTATGGAAAGGCACAAGTAGAACACTAAACATCACTAGAACAAACTCAGCCTCCCAGTAATAAATGCTTAATAAATAGTCACTTCAGGTACAAGAAACACTCAATGACACAGACAGTGAAACAGTTTTCTCTCTGGCGCAGGTGATGCATCTATGTTCACACTTTCTTAGTCCAAATTAGTGCCCAAAATCCATAGACACAATGCGGGTCTATCTCCCAACCCAAACAAGTACCAACACGATCCCAAAAAAATCGATACCTGGTCCCAGGCAATGACTGAAAAGAAGGGCGAACGTCTGAATATAGGTTGTTCACATTAAGTTTCAAACGGAAGTCAGTTAGATGCTCGCAGATAGGGTTGAAAACATAGGCAACGAAGTTTACCATCATACAGGGGCGAATTTGGGGGCGGCAGGTGAGGGGGGGGGGGGCTGACGCTTTTTCCCTCAGGTATTCGACCCCTGCCGACCCAAAGGGTCCCCCCCTTTGTACTATTTTGAGATATCCACTTTTGGTGACGTACCCTAAAATTTTTCTAAAGGCGCCTTTGGCGCCATAATATAATATTAGTTTTGAGGAGGTAGCGCGCGCCGAAAAAACGCAATTTTTTGGTCAAAATTTTCCAAAACAAGCCCAAAAACGTCTTTTTTGGCCTGTTTTTTTTTTCTAAATTGTGCCTGTGGCGCATGCGCAGAAAATCTGGCCAAAACGGTCTTTTTAATACTTAAGCAAGCTCGGAAGTCAATTTGGTCGACCTAAAAAAACGGTCGACAAAATTTTCATTTTTTTTTTTGAAAATCCGCCCCCCCCCCTTCGAGAAATTCCTAGATCCGCCCCTGCCATCTTATTAGGATTGAATAAACTTCAACTGGCATTATAGAAATGAGTGGTGCCTTTTTGTAATTGGGGAACACAATTTTTGTTGTGAATGAAATGCATCAATTAGAAATCGTTGAAAGCTCTGCATGGCAAACTAAACCCAGTCTCCACGGCTCCTCCAGTCTGAAAATACCAGTACTAAAGAAAATTTACGGTCCCCGAAAAAGTCAAAAACGGACCTCGTTTGATCGTTTTGGTCGAATCATGAGTGGAGCACCTCAGCCCGGGTCACTGTCCGAAAAGATTTCCAACTATTTAAGCTGTTTAAACGGATTTACTTGGTGCTCCACTGTCCAAAATAGACGGCCTAGAGCCCCCTTCTCCTTGGTCAAACCAGATCTCCCCATTAGTCCCACTCTCTCGACATGCCACTTTTTGGCCCCACAGTCTCAATACAAAAGCACGACTTCAATATTCGAACTGTTTTACTGCATCCCCATTTTTCTTTACTTAGGTTGACACCGACCCTAAAGCTTCTTGAAGGTAATTTAGGCCTCCAAGCACATTAATTTTGATGTAAAAGCGCCCGCCAAAAAACGCAATTTTTGTCGTCGTTTTTCAAACGTTTCCTCAAAAATTGGCTCCAGCTCAGGAAATTGTGTTAAAATAGGGATTCTTCGGCATCTGAAGAATTTTTGAAAATTAAATTGTCCCAAATTAAAAAAGCTCAACAAAAACTGAAAACTCTTTTTGACCCGCGAGAAAACCCAATTCCACCTCTAAGCTGCATCAAAGAACTTTATACTATCAAAAAATGTATTGCTTTAGCAAATGTGAATACTAGATGAGTTTCCTTCACTGAGCACTGGGTGTTAATCATGTAGCAGTATTTGTACCCAGGGGCGGATCTAGGATTTTCTCGAGGGGGGGGGGAGGACTTTCGTCATTTTTTATCGAACTATTTTTTTTGATCGACCACATTCGTTTTCCCAGCACTGTAAAAGACCCTATTTTGATCAGAAAAATTGCACCGCACACAAGTTTCTGAAAAAACAGGTTAAAAAAAAACCTTTTTGGGCCTTTTTTCTGAGGTTTTCACTAAAAAAGGCGTTTTTTCGGCGCGCTTCCCCTCAAATTAGTGTATATTGGCGACAAAAGCGAAACAATGAAGCCAGCAAATGGAAGTCAACAACAGGCCCTAAATTAAGAGCAATGGGTTCATTAAAAAATTATATTTTTGAAAAACAATTTTGATAGAGATGAAATTGAAAGTTTGTCTCCTCATTTGATTTTTTTCAAATAGAAGAAAACGCTGAGCTCTTGATTTTCAACTACCATAAAACTTACCAACCTATCAATTTTTTGTTTGTTTGATTAGTTTTAATAATCTATTTTAGTGATTAAGTTTTTGAATGAAGGCAAAAATGGAAATCATAGAAAAGACGCACCTTCCTCGCTTTCATTGACATTGAGGAAACAACTGCCAAATTGCCTTGAAGTTGAAAGAGCAGATTCAAAAAGCATTTTGTACAATGCAATTGAAGTGAAGTCGTTTTTCTCTTCTTTTCTTGATAGAATAGAATTGCAGGAAAATACGTCGATGTAAAAACCAGCAGAATTACCAGTCTTGATGGCAAAATCGAAAAATTACTCCAAAAAATGACACATGAAAGAGCAAATATGACAAGAAGAGGGTGCTGTATCGAAATCTTGCCCCAAATTTAAAAATGACAAGACTATTAACCATCCGGTTTATGACATCATGACGCTTATTAGTGTTTCAAGTCAGTTTTTCTGACTGTGCAGTTAAGAAAAGTGCGTTGAAATATTCCGAAACGCTGCACACTTGGTATACAACTATCAACTTGGGACACGTTTAGGTCAAAAAACAATTAGGCGACGACAGTAATTGGACTGCGGTACAAAACATTAGACAAGCAAGAAAAAGAGAAGTTTATGGCAGAACATGGGAAGCCTTAATGGCTACTTTCAATTACCTATTAAACAATCAGCGGGATAAATCGTACTGAAAGAAAAGAAGTAATTATCGGGAAACTGTTGAAACGTCGAAACGCGAAGATAAGTTGGACAAGTTATAATGTTCATTGCAGATCATAAATAGTTGCAACCCATTAAATTGAGACAAAAAGGCAGCAAAATAAACTGAGTGAATTGAAAGTGACCTGGACTTAAGAAGTGTCAATGATCTGGTGGTTTTATTATTGTACCCCCTTGACTCTACCTGTCGGCAAGAACGCCAGTAATAGTTTGTTTCTTCGGAGTTGTAACCTGAGATGGAAGCATCTTCGAAAAAGGAATAGTTTTTTAGTTTTTTCTTTGGACTGAAAATGACCTTAACGTAGCCATCAAGCCATCAAGCCATCAAGACTGCTTAATATCAGAAACAATTAATACAAAATGACACAAGATTGATCTAACAGACACTAGGCCCACTGAGAAAGATCGAACGGGTTCACGCAAAAATGTTGGTTATAAAACTACTTAATACAAACTGCAGTGCACAATATTGCAGTTCAGGGGTTAATGAAGTTTCATTATATGTTCACGAAAAGCTTCATTATAAAATCGTTGAACATGAATTAGAATTCAAAAATTTTCTGGTTAAACTCTTTGAAAAGTTAATGATTAAAATTGTACTTTTGATATTTTGACCACCTTCTTTGTTTATAATGTCAATTTTACAACATTGGAAAAATTTCTTTTTTTTCGAATTTTCTGAATGAACACAAAGAGTTTTTGGGATTTTACCATTGATATTCTCAAGCAGGAAAATTTTTGTACTGATTATACTAATGTACTGGCGGCATTTAATTTCAAGCTTCAAATTTGAGAACCAACCATGAAAACATGTTCACAAAACAACAAGAATAGCCAGTTGATGTGCAATTAGCACAGAATAATTCGACCATATTCTTAAAAAGTATTCATAAGTTTTTTTTTCAAAATAGTTTAGTTTTTTTTTGTGCTTGGAACGATGAAAGGATCTGTCGAAAGGATCTGGTGTTATAAAAAAAAATTAATTTAATTAAATTAATTTAAGTTGAGTGAAACAAAATTTTTACCGCTTAAAATAAGCAATTGTAAGCTTTTAAGCTAATAAAAAAAAACCATTGTAAGCCTGCTCGCTCACTCGAAATAAGACAAAAAATCAAAAAATTTCAAAACAGTTTTTTTGGATTTTGGCAAAGTTATTTAAGACATTTTAGATGTCGATAGAATTACGACTAAAAAAGTTTTAATATGATATATCACTCAACCCAATCCGATAATTATTTGGGCTACCTGATTTTGCGTGGAAAACTTAAAGAAAAAAACACACCCGATTACAAAATTACCCAGAGTTATATGGATTGCAATTAAAAACTCAAAAAAACTGAAATTCATACGTTCTCACTGGATCTTAAAAACCGTTCAACTCTCTTGAACATCGATAAATTTCAGAAATCTTGGAATGTTACAGAAGACCATACCATTACAGAGGACCATAATTTGAACCACTGAAAAATTACTTGAATAATCGGTCGCAATACGCTATATATTAAATTTTTTCTTCAAAAAATCTGAGATTAAAGACAACCATTTAATTAAACCAAATTAAATTTATTTGGGTAATCGATGCCAGTACGCCAAAGAGAGAAGTTTTTCTTCTGAAATTCTGCTGGTCATGACTGGAGTCCCACAGGGATCAACTTTAGGACCTGTATTATTTTTAATTTTTCTAAATGATCTTTCAAAACAATGTTAAACTAGCAAAATAACACTTTTTATTGTTGATACAAAAATGACCAACGCAAGTGAACATTCTTCTGAGAAAATAGACAATGATTCAAGTTCACTAAATGTGAAAGAGTGTTGCCCAACGAAGTTTCATTTCTTGTTGTACAATCCTTATTTAAGAAACCTCATAAAATATGACGTCTCACTCGGCTTTGAAAAATTAAACATGCACAGCGAAGAATCATACAAACCATTTTTCACAAATCTCAGTGTTTCTTTCCCTCATGCATGTATGATAGAAAACGAACCAACTAATCGTTTTCATACAAAATGAATAAAAAGGGTTTTCCTTCGCTTAAGTTAGTCAAAACAGAATTGAAAGGTCACTAAAGGCTTTATTTATCATGTCATATTGTAGTTTGACATATAGTAGTTTTTATATAGTAGTCATATAAATTGAGCTTTAGTTTTTCAAAAATTACAAGAAAAACCAAAAAACAAATCATTAACAAAAATCCGTTTTTTAAAGTTTTTTTTTGCAGATTTTTTTTTGCTTTATTGAAGCTTTTTCATTCACAAAATTGGTCTGAAAAATATTCATGGTCTATTTTTCTTTGAGAAACATACTCGCCTCCTCACTTATTTACTTGCTCGAAATTGAGATAAAACTCAAAATTTTAAACCAGTTTTTCTCGACACTGGGACATTTTTTGATAAAATTTTGATGTCGTTCGAATCGGTCATTAAAGAGTCTTATTATGATATAGCAATCGACCAATTCCAATGATTATCTGTGCTACCATTTTTTTGTGGAAAACGAAATAAAGAAAAACATAGGAAGAGAAATACGGATAGCCGGTTACTGTGCAAATAGCACAGAATGTTCTAACCATAATCTTTAAAAATACAACAAATATTTCTGCGTGGTGTGATAAAAAATCTGAACAAAAAACAAGCGTTACGGCATATTTGATAGTTATATTAAAGTAAGCAAATTAGATACAATTTTTGTTGAAAAACGACTAGAAAACCAAAATTTGAGAAAATATTTTCAGTAATTTTTTTTTACTGTTATTCGAGTCACGACTGAAAAGATTCGAATATAACATGTTACTCATAACAGTTCGATGATTAATTTTGGTACCTGGTTTTACGTGGAAAACAAAAAAAGCGAGAAAAGAAGTTTCAAAAAAACTAAAACACACTTGAATACAAAGTTCCTCCCCTTTTTTCAAATGGTGGGAACAACAATGAATATCCGCGGGAAATCTGAATGTAGACATCAAAGAACTAACTACACGCTCCGCTTCAAATGCAAATGACAGACTAGAAAGCATTAACATAACATAAACAAGACAAAGTAAGATGATAAATAGGTAAAGATGATAAATATAAATCAGGAAAAAGTTGTTCAGAAATTTCATAATCTATAAAAATTCACTGATTTGATAGTGGCGGTGGAAATACTATGGGAGTGGCTTGCATTAGATCAGGACAGTTCTCAACATTTAGATATGCACGTTGAATAATAATCAGATCAGAGTTGTGAATAATAATAGCCTCACCTCGCATGAAACTAAACTGAAAAACAAAAGAAAAAGAAAACGATGGTTTCTCAAATCCACTTTTGAAAAGAGAAAAGCAAAAGGAGGCTTGAAAATTTCGTTACATTCTTCAAACTGCGCAACAAAACAGAAGATTAAGAAATAACTGCAGATTTCAGCGACTAATAAAACTTCGATTATCGGTTTTTTATTAAAGGAGATTATCGATAAATTTTACCACCATCCCAAAAAATAACAAAAAGCAGAGCTGATGAGAGTTAATTAATTTAAATATTTCTATTTTTTTTCTGCCTATGAAAATGAATTCTAGCTCGTAATTTGAACCAATTAGTGATGTTTTTCAAAAAAAAAGAGGAGCTATCAAATGCCTTTTAAATACTGTCAAATGACACAGCAGTCTCATACTTCAGAATTCAGAAGAGGGTTCATTAAAAATTTAAAACATAATACCTTTTTTCTTCTGTCAATTTGCCATCAAATATTCGAGAAAAAGATGATTCTGCAAAAAAAAAAACGAAACTTCATCAAGCATACTTGTTTCATTTAGACCAAAAAATTAACTCAAAAGAATTTAAGAGGGTTGTTTCCATGTACTCTTGAAATAATCGCAAACCTTTCAGATTGTAGTGAGAAAAGAAGACAAAAACCAATCTAATTTACCGATCACGAAAACAAATACTGAGGCTTACAGCTGGAAGTAATAAATTCATAAGTGAATATTCTTTGCTGAGTAATTGAAAGGGCCACGACAGTCTTCACAATTGAGAGGAAGTGGATCGAGTCAGTTGTGCTTTGGGATTATCACAAGTGGGAACGAGATAAGCTCTGAAGGACAGCCGCAACAGCAAAGGTGGTGGCGTCTATTTTCTACGCAGAGAGACCGACGCGCAAAATTCAGTCAAGTTTCATAATCAAAGAGGACAGGTCAAATGGCAAACTATCTGAGAGCCGATCGACTTACCATCCCGCTCTGGATTAACTTTGAAGTCCACTTCAAATGATTTTCACAGTAAAATGCTCCAAAGAGCACACGTTAAAATGCTAGCAATAAAAAAATTTTCATATTTCCTTTTTTAGTAAATATAAAACTAGTTTTTTTTTGTTTTTTCTTCATATATGTATACTTTTTTAGTTATTTTTTTTATGAATACGATTTTATAGGACACCAAAATGGCTGCATCTTAACTCTCTTACGACCACCGATGTCTCTCACCGCAGAAGGAATGCCACAGCAGGAGATTTTTCAAAGCTTTGGTGGAAAAAGAAAACACACCACCCTTAAAACAATTTCATATTATACCTATGATCAATTAATTTAAAAAAATAATTATTAATCCACATTAACTCCATTCTGCTGAATGAATATATGGAAAAAGTAACTGACGGCGTGCTAACCGCGGTCGAACTTGGTGTGCATATCAGAAGGTATTGATTTATTTGCTTCATTGGGCGAGCTTGTCAAGCAGATCCGGAGAATTTAGGATAATCCGCACTTGTTGGGAACAGTGCCGGTGCTGACTGACAATATGCAGACAAAAATTGAGAGAGAGGATCATTTATCACTTGTTTGACCGGGTGGTTCGGTCACCTCGGGAGAGCCCCACACAAAAATAATTCAACCTAGCCAGCCTTGTTTTGAAGTTGTTTCTGACAGTTGAAACCAAAAGGGGCTCATTGGGGGCTACAAATACAACAAGTGCAATCCCATAATTCCACCAAGATACAGAGTCTGAAAAACACTTATTCAATCAATCAAGTGCACACTTTCCTATAAGTGTTAGGTGCTATTTTGCTGAAAAGGTTTTAAGCTACTTAAGTTCAACTTCAATTATAATCAAACAGTCTAAAAACAGAGTTATGAGCGTTTATTTTGTTGAGATATTTCGCACGTAATTTGACTCCTATTAAATAAGAAGAGTATGTTTACAGAGAAAAGTTTTAAGCTATGGCGCAAAATATAAATTATTAGGGTGCTGAACTCTGCTTCAATAGCGCTACTTGTAGATTTTTGTCAGAACTTAATTGACATAAAACATGGCTTAGATGATTT